AAGCCAAGCATGTCGGCGGCGCCAAGCTGAAACAATATTTTAGCGGTAAACATGGCGTACCGTCCTCAAGAACTGATAGTCCTCAAAAAACTTACAGGTATGCAGTTGTGCACCGTGTTCTTAAGCCGGTATTTCTCCTTTTTCTCTGGAATCGCACCACCGGCTCCTGGTGCTGAACTTAACGTGCCATTGACTTCATCCTCAAACACTTCTTCAAGAATAATCCGAGAGGAGTTGTCACTGTTGTCGACAGGGACAGCCGTGCTCCCACTGTGCTTGCCCTCGGCAGGAATATTTACAGTGCTACCTTTTTCCTTGCTCTCGCTCTTTTCGGTAATAACGGTTGACGGCTCGACCTTTTCCGTGCTCACCTCAGTACTGCGAACAGTGCTGGGTGCACCAACGGTCGTAGGATTAGGCTTTTCTGCCTCTGTAAGTTCAACATTAGCTTTAACTGATGTCTTAATATCTGTATGGCCATCGTGGCCAGGTACATTGGTTGTGGGGTCCTTCTTAGCTTGTGGTGACGACAATGATAGCACTTTCGGATTTGTCGACCCGCTGGTCTTCTGTTTTTCTTCATTCTGCTGCAGATCATTGATTTCTTCCAGGCCCTTATCTTTGTGTGTCAGTATCTGAAAAACGATTGAATCTGAAAAAAGGGACCCAAAGGCTGAGCTCGCTTCCAGAAGTTGTGAGGTATGCGGGACTCACATAGTAATAACAAAGTAGCAAGTGGTACAGTACTGACGAAAAAACAAAAAATCTTGGGAAATGTCTTACACTCTAGTTCGCTGCGGACGGTTGGGCGTGTCAGGCAGTATGAGTGTGTCACCCCGTCAAAGCCGTTCTCTGCCTTCTTGTTGAAGCGCGCATGCGACAAAAAGTGGTAGAAAACGAGTAATACGAAGGATATGATACAGTATTGTCACTTGCCCGCTTCAACAACTGGTGGAGAACGAGTTTGGCACCGCGCCAAACGCAGCCGCACTGACACGCCCAACCGTCCGCAGCGAATTACACTATATATAGAACCCCAGGCTAACTAAGGTTAAAGGCAGCGTCCGCGATCAACCAAAGTGAAAAAACCCTGCACTGAAACAAGATCGCGGAGTCCGCAACCACAGCGGATATCCCACTCTTGCGGCTCGAAATCGATTGATTGACGAAGGCGGAGTCAACAATGCTAAGCTGCCCGTCCTATTAATCCCGCCTCGACTGGTTAACAGTTGTCAATCCTTGCTGGC